CTGTAACTCTTGTTTCTAATAAAGCAGCTCATATCTGAGTGCCAGCTGTAAGTCAGTGAGGGGCTATATCTTGTACATTCATGCAGGCAGCTAATTCACTTGAAAGATCCTGCTAATGTTATAAACCTGGAATGGGAAACTCAAGTGAGTTGTAAATAACAGTGAAGTAAACTACTGTGAAAGCTGGCTCCTGTTTTCATCTAAACTCATGCTCAGGGACGGATGCAAACAGCCAGAAGTGCCAGCAAGTGAAGTCAAGGCTGAAAAAATTAATTAGCAGGTGAAATGGAGCCAAAGAGATTGAATGGTGGAAAATTAGATATCCAGCAGGTGATGATTTTAGTGATCATAAGGCTTTTTGAAAGGTAACAAGTAGTATAAAAGACCAAATTGTATCAAATTGTACAGTGGGAACCCCCATAATCCCTTCCAGAGCTATGTCTTGGCCTAGGAACTACATCGCTCTGAGACTACAGTGCATAGGCTCTGTCTAGCATTGCAGAGATCCATATGCATCGCAGGGAACAAAGCAACACACACACACAAGAGGAGCTGGGCAGCTCTGGGAAAGGGAGAGGGAAGTTTCTTTGGAGATAACCAACAACAGTTGCCAGACAGGTATTGGCTGAGATCATTCCTGTTCTCAGTCACAGAGTTTTATAGAGGCCTACAGGTAAATTTGATCATCTCTCTACAAAAGCTATAATGAAAAAATATGCAGAAAGACTCTGGGTGGCAGTAATTTTGCTAGGGGTTGAAACTCAGTGCATTTTACCATTCGTTTCCTGTGCATTTACTCAGCATTTTACCGTATATTAGCATTCATCTCAATAATGGTTAATAAGCCTTTATATGACTATTTCTGAAGCAAGGGACAAAGTGTACTTTACAAATTTTACTGAGGATATAACTCTGGAATGAGATTGTGCTTCATATGTATAAAGTGCTCAGCGTGGTGCCAGCACTGCCGCTAACGTCTGCCAGCTATTGTCCCTTGAGTCTTACACCCTATCTCCTCATAGTGGATCAGCTACCACATTCACATTGCGTGAGATCTCCTGAGTTACTTGGTTCGCTGTACGAACTCAGTTGAAGTCTGTATCACACAGAAAGACCAACCATATAATCCTAATGAGCCCATCTTGTCTTGAAATGCGCAATGACTTGGTAAAGGAGTAAAATATATCAGTCAAAGTTAGACACTTCCTAAAGAAAGCACAGGCTGTCATTTTATGGTTTTAAAACCTAAGGCAGAATAGCCTCCCACAGGTATAGCTAGGCGCTCTCATGTTCCCGCTACATCTGTTTCCAGGTGTTGTCATAGTTTGGATTTCATAATTTACTCCAAGAAGTCAGAGCATAAATATCAGTCAATATAATGAGATTAAGGCAAGAATGAACAGGGAGCGCATGCTATATGCCTGTGGATTCATATGCAAATTCATAACTGCCAAACCTGCCTTGACTCAAGTACAACACAAAAGCTGTCCGTGCGGCTTAGAAGTCCGTAGAACTCCTAAATGAACACAGCTGGTCTGCCCTGCCAAAGAAATAGGCAGGTGGCTTCTCTTTATGTAAAATACTGTTCCTGAAGACAAAATGCAACAATAGTTGGCAGATTTCACTGAAGCACAAATAAAGGTCCAATGATGTCTAAATAGTTGGAAGTACGTGTTGCGCATGCAGTAATTGTTAATTCTGAAGTTTGTCTGGACTCCAAACCTCTGTAAAGATTATAGAAAATCTCAAAAACCAGAAGTGCTACAAAGCAGATGGGTACAATGCAAGTTTAGGAAGGAGTGCCAAAGGAAAGGGTTTGCATTATTAATTAGAAAGGAGAGAGTGTAGTAGGGAAAATTAACAGAATCAAAAATATTTCATACCAAAACTGCATGGAAAGAGACAACACAAGATGTAGCTATTCTCTGAGACAGAGCTCTAACGTGCAATCTTCCCTAAAGCTGCTGGAAGCAGGTGGGCTCCCACAGCTGCATCCCTCTGGCTTCCACTAGAGATACAAGTTTTGTCTCTCACCAGAGTTCCCAGGGAAGGATCCTCATCATAAGGGATTCCCTGGAGCACAAGAACCCAAGAACCAAGGGTGAGAACAGAGACCTTAAAGAGGAAAAATGAGAAACTCAGTGCTCGACAAGACAGAAGCAGCAAAGAGGACAAAGGCGTTCAGGTTTGGGAGGTGGAGGGCCCAATTCTTGCAGATGGTTTGTGTGAGCACAGGAAGGAGAGAGAGAAACGTGGCTGCAGCAGGTTGATGGGTTTCCTTAGGGGTGTGTTCAGTAAGACACTGCTCTTTGGACAGATGGAAGGGGGCTTATTTAGACTAGAAAAGGAGAAATATATTTGACAACACATTGTTTCACTATTCTTAGTCTATGCAGGACGTAGGCTATAATGGAAATTAAAAGATAAATACTTTCCTAGTTATAGCTCAAGCTGCTTTTCTTTAATACAAAAAAATACTTAATTTTCTATTTTAAATTTCATCATCTTTTTCCCTTAAAAGCTTAGAACAGTCAACCACCAGAAATACTACATGCTTTTTATTTATGGTGATAAACAAAGTGTTTTTGCTTCTCAATAATGGCATGAGATAATTTTGCTAATTTTGATAACAGTTTCCCACTGACTTGGAATCTTTATTATACAGCTGAGGCAACTGACTGCAATCTACTTTCTAAGGATCATTATGGTGTCAATTTGAGCCCATTCAGCTGTTGCTTGAAATGCGTAGCGTACATGTGTCATTTAATATTTTATTTCAAATTGCCTTTCTTTTTATTATCTATCAAACTGTTTTTCTTGCTTAAGCACTAAATGTACATATAAAATTTAAGATGCTTGTCTGGATATATTTTTCGCTGTGTGTTGAGTTATAAATTAAATGTCATAATTGTTCTAAAATTAAAAAAAAAAGTTCTTCAGAAAGAGGGAGCTTTCTAAATAAAATCATCTGCACATAGACTCCCTATGAAACATGTTCTCGGATTTCCTTGTAATATTAATCTTGCAGAGGGAATTCAGATGTTCTTATGATAAAAAAATAGCAAATCTACAGTGACAACTAAGTAACTATTTTCTTTAAAATCTTTTCTAGCTAATCTGATTTTAGAAGACTCTGAAGCACATTTCCAATTTTACATGTCTTAATGTATCACAGCCACTCCAAATGTCTCCGAATGCACAGAAGTAAGATTCATGCAGAAACAAAACATAGGGATCCACATAGTATTTCCATCTCTGGCACCACATATGGAGGGGACTAGGATAAGTCACATTATCTCCTGATGCCTCGATTCCCCATCACTAAAGCAATCCATGGTGGTAATGGCCTTTGAGATCTTTGATTGAAAGAAAAAGAATTGAAAATAGTGATTTAAAAAAAAAAAAATTCTAGGTTCAGACCTAGAATTTGCAGTGAAACAGGCAGAGATCTTAATGAATAACTCACACGAGTTTACCATATACTGCCTACAGACACATTTGTGTGTTCCAGTATCGCATACTGTTTTTAATTTTTTTTACTTCGTTATTGCAAACACAGGTGCCCTTTATAGGTCAGTACAAGTATATGCATTCACACCCCATTTACATCTTAGTCTCAATTATTCAGTCTCAATTATTCAACATTTGCCACACAACTGTATCAAAATTTCTTCTATTTAAATATAGGAGATACTACAGTTACTGCAGGGTCTTGAATTTTGACTATAGCATTCTTAAGGCACAGTATGTTATCTGACATGAAATACATACATTTATACTTATACACACACACTCACAAAGAATACTGTCTCTCAATATCAAGGAGGCTGTGTATAACTGGTAAGTAAAATGAAACTATTCCAATTTACATAAATAACAAGCACTGTAGAACAGACTTCAGTACAATACCTAACTATGCAGTCACAACACAAAAGCTCAGATACTCCTCACTGATTTCTATCCCTGACATCCAATTATAGATCAAGACACCTAAAATCCTCTGTTTCCAGCCTTTTATTCCACTGCAATTCATCATGCCATGTCCATCATGCCAAATAAACACAAAGTATAACACAGCATTCTAAGGCTCTTATTAATTACCAGTACCCAACTTGAGATTACGTACAGATTTACAAACAATACCTTCGGGAATATATCATCATAAAACACTTAAAAAAGTGCTCCAGGAACTGAACAAGCACCGGTGGGATATAGTAGGAGGAGCACACCCCAGAAGGGATATAAGCGCTGACACATGGCTTTCATGGATTTTATGCACAAGTTAATTTACATGTTGCCTTTTTTGCATCATGTCCTATCAGAATTACAGCAAGTAATTAATGAGATTGGCTGGGGTGTCTTTTAAAGTTTCTCTGTCCAAGAATACTTTAATTATTAATACTTTGATGAGTTTCCTGTCCAGTGTTTTTGATTTCAAAATAGAAGTACAAAACAGAAGTGAAAGATCTTTTTTTGCATGGGGACATAAAAATACACTTTAACTTTCCCCTCTTTTTTTTTCCTTTTCAAATAAATCCACTGTGATGCTTAAAAAGCCCAGCTTTTAAATATCTTTTCCTTTCATGCATAACATGTTTTTTTTCACTCAGTGGTTTAAAGCCAAGCATGTATCTCTTTGTACGCATCTATGTATGTATCTGGAGAGACAAACCTCGCTAATAAGCGATAGAGAACTTTAAAATCCCTGAGTGACTAGTATCAGTAAAGAGTTACAACAGGGATGTCTTCACTGCAAAGCAGGCAGATTCTCAGCATAGTCAGTTAAGCAGACACGAATCTATTTCAGTGCCTTCTAGCAGTATATCCTAAAACATATTTTTTCAACATTCTGAATTTAAAACCTGGTTGTAACTCTCTCTCTTCCTCACTGGGCAGCTGAGCACAATCAGACAGCTCCAGGTGTATCTTAACAGGGTATGTATACATATACTCCCTCTCCCACACCTTTATCCTTCTCAGGTCATGCAGCCAGCTCTTACCTCAATGGTGTACTGTTCAAAAATCCGGAGCTGAAGGAAAATATCTAGCTTAATCTTCCTCTCATGGAAAAGCTCTTCCATCTGTACCTGGGCCTCGTCGAGCTGCTGAAGGACAGATTCAATGTGGCTGATGGAGCTATTGTGTGGAGTCTTATTGTTGGAAACGGCAGAGTCCCTGTAGCAAGGCAGAAAGCATAGTTAAAGCAGGCAAAAGAGCAAGAACTAGACATTTATGATTCTGTGTGCTGCTGAGAAGCAAACCCAAGCACAAAGAGCCAAGGGAAGGTATATGCAACACTCATCTCTTCTGCTTGCTGAAATCCTGCAGCTCCTGAGCGCGGCACAAAGTTTGAACACGGGGATCATCCTTTCTTGTGTCGTGACACTGCGACCTTACACACTTGGGAGGAGAATGACACATCAATCTCAATGGCTCTCTTGAGGAAACTGGCTGGCAATCCCCTTTAATCCTACAGAGTGACCTGCTCCAGCCTACACTCACACCAAGCTCAGAGATATTATTTAGCCCCCTGGACTTTTACAAGTTAATTTTGTGCATTTGCTTTATTACTTACAGCCTAATTGAATCAGAGTTACCAGCATTTTAGACCAAGGGGTAGGGATGCCTTGATTTCCTCTGGATTATGCAGTACAGCAACAGATGCAGGATACTGTGCAAAAAACTCCATTGAAGGAAAACACCTTTCAAACACTGTAAGACAGTTTAACTTGTCTTTTCACTAGAGTAAGTGAAATGAGACATGCCTGTGATAGGTCAGATACTGCTCCATTTACACCCTCCATATAAAGGGAGCAGAAGTGAGCTAGCCCTTTAACTGGTGGGCTAGGGCCAAGGGGAAGTTTGCTGTACTTGAAAGAAGTTTTAGCATGGACATAGAACAGTCCTGACAGTTTCTTTCCTATTTGTGCTCTCACATATATTAATAGGCTCACCTACAGTCCCTTACATCTCCAGTAAATTTTTTCCCAGTGAGTGTTTTATGCACAAAGATCCTTTGCAGACATAAATGGCTGAAATTTCTCCTCAAATGTGCCACAAAAGGTCCCCCAACTTTAAAAAGAACTAGAAAGGAAACTCTGAAGCCATAATTTAATCTTGGCTTTTGTACTTCAGCTAAAACAAGATTTAGATGCAATGTTTTCTTCCGTCCATCCCACTTAATGTGATAGCAGTTGCATTATTTGTTATACTTAAACCAAGCCAACTGAAAACCCTATCAAATACACTGTTGGAAAAACCTGCGCACTGGTAGGATAACAGGATGAAGTGGGTAAACCAGCAGGTTTTACTGTTAACATTCCCATCAATCTCCAGTTCTGCCTTGGAGAAGGTGAGGGAGACAATTGCAAATCCAACAGCATATATTGGACTCCTGGTGCACGAACAAACTCCCACATGTGCAGCAAACTGGCTGACAATATTGGAAGACAAGCAAAATGTCAGGTAATGCTGCTAGGTCACCCCATTATCCCACAGGGACCAAAAGCAGCTGGGAGCCATTCTTCTGGCCAGCTAACCTGGTCTGCTGAGTGCAGGTGCCCACAGAGTCTCCCCACTGTGGAAGAGCGCTAGCGCATTCACAATTTTTAGGTTTTTATTTCCCTTTTCTGGTTTGAATTTTTCCTCCATAAACATCTAGCAAAGCATTTGTACTTCTCTACAGAGCTTGACTGAATTTCTTGTTCTTTGCAAATTATCATCACGTAGGGTCAGATCAAAACAACGTACAGTCAACTTAGATGTTAATTGAACACTGTCAGTGAGCATAATAGAGCATAAAAAAGTATAACCTTTTACAGATGCCTTAAATTGTGTGTCAGTGCCTAGTTTCAGAGTCATTTTAGGTAAGTTTAAAACACACCTTTGAGGTTCTAAGGCAACAAAACACACAGGTTATTCTGTTTTCATTATGTGTCTTGAAGGAACAGAACAAGCATTTGCCTGAACATCTTAGCCTAAGAATAAAATTTAAAATACAGAATACTATTAACTGCATAGTAGTTTGCCATTTGGATGTGTTTCACCTCTTTTTCCTCAAATACTTTTTGTTTGATACACTGAACTTCAGGTGCTCCAGCATTATTCTGAAACAAGTACTATCAACTTCTGTTGCTTATGAGGGGATGTAACACCCATATTACTCTCTCCGGGTGATATGGTTTCTGCCCCACTCAATCTTGTGTTTTCACCTTACTGGTGACCACAAGACCTCTCTGCCTCCACATTAGAGCTGTACAGAGGAAGGATGAATGAAGATAACAAGGTGAGATTTTGAAACTACAGCTTAATCGGAGGCCACACTCAATCAAGTGCTGTTTCCTTCAGTCAGCACCTGTCTTCTTCAAAAGGACATGAAATATGTCTTCAAGTGCAGGATTATTACTATTCACATCTTATCTAAATGACTCAATGAATTATTCAAGACTGGTGTTGAATAATCTCTCACAGGATCTAGAGACACGCTTGGTTTTAGAAATTCTTTTTCATTAAATATGTCACTCCTCAAATCAAGCCACACTCACATTTCAGTGGCTGATGCAATACAAAAATTTAAGTGTAATAATCTGGTATTTTTTCACAAGCTCCTCAGATAAGGTCGTGACAATCCCTATATAGTCTGATTTGAGAAAGATCTCTTTCCAGAAGAGGAAATTTCTGAGATTGGATGCTTCCACCACAAGATTTCTTGCCCTGTCTGGTGATGAGAAATTCTGGGAAAGAATTCATAGAAGATCCTTACTAGTCTCTGAAAGGTTATGCATTCAAGTTATAAAATGCAGGGAAATTATTGGAAAAAAAATACAAAATAAACTTTGGGGAACATAAAATTGGGCTTAGTGCATTGCTGTTGAGTTTGTTCAGAATGAACACTGCGCTCCTGCAATCACATTCAGTGCTTTAATTGGGAGAAAGCTTAATGAAACATACCTATTATTAAAAGCTCATGTGCTGAATTACTGTAAAGAAGGCAAGGTACATAATTACTCACTTTCTTTTTTTGCCCCTAACATTCCTGTTCTTTCACATCTCACTGGACCAAGTGATTGTTTTGCCTTCCACAGATATGCAGAAATATTGACCCCAGCAGCACTCCTAGAAATGCAGTTCAAAAGATTTGCTTTGTGTTGACTGCTGAGAATGATGATCGCCTTAGTAAAACACTGATAAGGAAGAGTGAAAAAAATGCTTCCAATGCGTTTCCATGACATGTACAGTGTTGCTAGCCAGGCCTGTTTTATTCCTGACAGGTATGGTCTTCTGATGCAGTCACTAAAGGCCCTGAAGACCTTCTGTGAAGAGCAGTCCCAGGCATTGTATTTAACTAGTTCAGGCAGCTGAGCTTTTCCTAAGCTATCCTGAGGAGACACAGAATGCTATTACACAAATGATCTTCTCTAAACCAATATCTGTTCTCTCAGAGGTAAGGACAAGAAACATAAAATTTTTCAAAGCCCCATTGGTTTTATTGGTATTAAGCTGTGCTATGACATGCTTGGTAAGAGCAGTGTATTTCACTCTCTTCATTGTTGTAGCATTTGCAATCTTCAGCTATTCTTCACAGCAGGTAGAAGGTGATCCACACTGTGAAACGCAATGCTGGGTTAAGGAAAGATTGCAGCATTTCTAGTTTTTCCTCCTTTCTTTTACCTGTGTGTTCTTTACTTTTGCCAGCAGCCATAAAAGCTGTTAGAGTGGGGGCACACAGAGGTGGTTTCGTGTTTTTCTTACACAGTTCTGCTTCACTTTTTGAAGGAGTCCAGGATCACATCACAGGCATTGCAGTTAGTCAGAGTGCTCAAAAGCAACACTTGAATCGGAGATCGTCCTGACAGTTCAGCTCTGCAAATCTTTGCGTGTGTTCAGGGCCTCTGTCCTTCAGACAACTGTTCTCTCTCTGTTTGGTCTTAACTTTATCAGAAGCAGGGGATCACTTTGCACAAACATGTTCACCCTGTTCCACCTTGCTCACTGCCCAGAATACAAGCCAGACCCCCAAAACAACATTTCTTTGTTAAGAACAGCTACCACAAAACTTGTCTTGGCATTTCACAAATGTTTAGTCATGACACCAATTCCAAATAAGTCTCAAACCTGAGGACTCTCTTAATTTTCAAAGACTGAAACTAAGAATTGCTGAAGTTTATATTAAAAAAAGCTGAAGTCCCACATGCCATCTCCCAGTTCACTTCTTCCCCAGCATTGGTCTTGCAGCCACTACATCAGCCTTTCTCCAATAATTGCTATTCATACTTGATGCTCCACTGACTTCTCAGCTCCAAATATCATCCTGGCCACTCTCCAACTCTGCATGCCACTTTCCTACTGATTCAGGTGCGGGCAAAAAGCTTTTAGGCCAATCCCACAGGCAGCACCAGGACTCCTTCAATATAGACACTTTCTGCAGCCACAAACCACACCACACTCCACCTGATGGGCTTACACAGGGTGCCTTTCAGGCTCTTCTCCATGGGTGTTCGTGTTGAAATGATGACCGATAGGTGGGAAAAGCAACAAAAAAATTTAGTCCAGAGTTTCACTGCCATTTTGGTGATGTCATAGATAGGCCTAAAACTTTGCATAAAGTTTCTTTGCATAAAGTTTCTTTGCATAAAGTTTCTTTGCATAAAGGGAAATTACCATGCAGACCTTTGACTGACCTGTTATGGCTGGCCATACATACATTCTTATCTAAAACCCCCTCCTTCTGGCAGCTCACTTACCAAACACAGCATATTTCCTTCCTACTTATCTCATAAGCCAAGATGAATGGACGGATGGAGCGCAGCTATGTCTACTCCTGATCCTTCCTTTCCAACTCTGATCTCGGCAAGCAATACCACAGCTCAGGTCCCTCGCTCTCCCCCTGGGATGCAGGCAAGCCACATACAGCAAGACTAGGAATTTACACAGGTTCTCCTGTGTGGCTGCCTAGGGCTGAATGACAATCAAAACCTAGAGAGGTCCTTTCAAATATCTCATATTTTTTTTCTGACCCAGTGGAGAAGACTTTGCATCCAGGGTGGTAGGAAAAAGCATAGAGGAAAGCTCAGCACATGACTGCAGTAGAAGACTCAGGGAAACCCAGGAGGGCTAGTAAGGGCAGAGGTGCACCAGGGACCTTCATTATCTACTCTGCTCTGAAGCACCTTAGGCTTTTGCTATCCTGACTCATGCTTTTCTGCACTTCTTATGTGGGAACTGAAGGCATCAGATTAGGAAAGCTCAGGGGGAGGAGGATGACATAACTCTCTGGGACAGACTCCGGTGAAATGTATAAGACCTGGCAGATTTGCATATTTATACATCTATACACAATGTACACACTACATACACGTAGATAAGGACAATCTGTAACAATACAAAGATCTAAAGGATAAGCGATGTATTGGACTTGGTTTTGAGCTCAGTAACATCACTTAAAAGCAGCAAAACTCCACTGCTGTCAACCAACTTAAAGCCACAGAAAACCACTGTAAATAATAACAAATGAGAGATATCTCACAGCTACAAGTTTTGTGTAAGCTTACTCTGCAAACATTTGCTCTACTACAATTACAGACTGAGAAAGCAAAAAAAGCCAGCCCCAACTTCTTGGAGCCAGTCTCTTCATGTATTTTAAGTCATGCAAAATAAGCTGTTTTGATTCATAATGCAAGTAGAACTAGCAGTATAAGACACTCTTTGGCAGTATGAATAAACCCCACATGGGCAAAGATAAATAGAAGGGTGCTGCATGCAAAATGAAAGAGTGAAGACTGTTAGACACATGTATATTTTATTAGGAGGAATACACTTCTCCTACATCAGGAGTAACCACATAAAACACAAGGCCTCCGCATACAACCATTTAACAATCTTCTATAAATACCAGCTAAAAATATTCACCTGAAACACATTTGTTTCAGTTCACTTCAATGTGCCTATAAATAATCTTTCTGTCAAACAGGAACCCATGCTGATCCACAGACTACTCAGTCCACATAAATCACTCCCTGCAATTTCAATGAAATACTCAAAGAATTTGAAGAATCATAAATAGGAAAAGAATTAATAAACTCTCTCAATTAATTCTAACTTACAGTTCCCTATTTATGTACACCTAGACCACAGCACACATCAGATTTCTCAATACCTGGCCTCCAGGTGGATGCTTACCTGAGCTGTTGGATTAGATCTTCCCCTTCTTTAATAACATTGAGGGTAGCATCCAAGGTGGCTGTTTGTTGTTGCTGAAACTGCTTGATAAGCTCCTGAACTGCATCCACAGAGTCAGCACAGACATCCTCTAAAAGCTCCTTCTGCAGATCTTCCATCCATGTCCACAGCTGGGAAGGAGGGGAGGGAAATATAAATCAGAGAGGGATTGAGAGTTAACCCTTTTGCTCTCTAATTCCAGATCAGTAACCATTAAGTAGGGCTGCATGTTTCACGGGAAAACTGACCTAAAGTTTCTAAAACCAAAAAGATGCATTGGTTATTGAGTCTGGTTGATGCAATCCCATTTTAAGCAACAAAGTAAAATAAATACAATATCAGGTAATTTATTCCAAAATTTTCAGTTTATTATATGACAGCAACTAATTATATTATTCTGATTAACCCTTTACACAAGCAACAAATTGTAATGCCCTACAGCTGTGATAATCTAACCCTTTCAGGAGCTGCGTGCTATCAGCTGCTATTAATTTCACATGCAGCTGAAGCCTGTTGCAGAACAGACCTAAAATCTTTGGTATGTATGTATGGTACTGGCTGAAGTCTAGCTGTGCCTTCCCAGGCAGAAGGTTTTGTGGAGTGGTGTGTGGGTTTGTTTTTTTTTGTTTGTTTGGGTTTTTTATGGGTTTCTGCCACTTACCTCTCACCTCCTCAAAATGCACCTCAGATTCTGCTTTTTAACTTTGGGAAAATCCAAACATAGGAGACAGCAATATTGCTAATCAATCTCACGCGGATCCCTTAATCTTAAATAGTCCCAACTACCAATTTCAAAACAACAACAACAAATCATTTGACTAAGTGCTTAGATGAGAATTTGCAGCCAGCTGTTCATCAGAGATCTGGAGAGTGGCAGGCAAGCCCCAGCAGCCTCTTGGTGGCTGTAAAGGCTCAAAGCGAACCGAGGTTTCCCCTTTAAGCCTGCTCGGAAAAGTGAGTGTAAAATTGCGCCAACTGAGCCGGCAGCCTGCCAGCAGACCCTAATGACTCCACCAGAGAGGCTGTCTTCTGTGCCACGCTGCCCCATTAACCCACATTCTGCTGGTATATTCCGCAAGGTAGCGGAGAAGTACAGGAGCGGGAAACAACGCGTTGCACCAGCGCGCTGGGGAATGCCGGGGGATGCGGTGCCGGCGGCAGCGGGGCTGTGCTGCCTGCCGTTGCAGGGAGCTGCGAAGCAGTTTGTCTCAAAGGGAGCTAGAGCAACACACGAAGCAGTCGACAGACGTTGTGTGGGGGTGGCAAAAGAGCTGGTAAAAACGTTCCTGTTCAAAACGAGGTGCGCTGGGTCCCCCATCCTACAGGATTTCTTCTGAGATGGCGAATTCTGCACGTGCGTGTAAAACAAGAGGAGGAGAGGGACGTCTTAAATGCCAGCTGTCAAGGCTTCTCTCAATTAGCGTCCAAACCTAAGGCCAGTCACCGAATGTTACGCTATACGCGTGCCTCTGACCTCAAGGATATCACCCTGGTCTGAACCAAAATAATCAAAATCAGAACCTGTCCCAGAACTGCTCACGATAGGAGAAAACGGAAAGCCTGACTCTGGGCACTCTGTCCCCAACTCTGCTACTGACTCCTTGCTTGACAGACTTACAAAACAGAATTTTAAAACATATGCCTAATTTGAAGGCTTTTCAGTTAGATCTTCAGAGTCAGCTTTGACTATTTTAGGTAAACGCCTCTGTTTATTCATAAATAGCATAATCATAATGGCCTGCCCTACTACTGGCCCCAAATGGAATGTCTTTGCTCAGGTTATTTACATATTTTCACATTCTCAGGAGAAAGGCATGATATAAAAAGGCAACTACTAAGAAAAGAAACAAATATAATTAAGTAGTCAGGCTTGTGAAATGAATTAAAAGAATGAAAACCTAACAGAGCTTTTTCATTTGTGGCCTAAGGTCCAGGTGCTAAACTTTGGGAAGGCACTGTAAAGGAAAATGCATTAATGCCTTTATGTATGAATTACATTCAGAATCTTCCTGGTTTTGATCTGATGCCTGTACCTGCTCAAACAGTAGGGACAGCTGGACTCTAACAGGTGAGGACCACGTTGTTCGGGAATATTACTTTCGCTGCTTATCAGATCTTCACGTAACAGAGCATTTTATAAATATAGAAGAGAAAAATGGCCATGCGTATAAATTATCCTTCTGTTTCAAGTTGGGAAAGCCAGTAGTTTTTTCATTTCTTGCTGTTCTTCATCATATTTCATTTTTCCACTTAAGATAACAAAAAAAGCTCAGGGAATTTCCTTTACAAAAATGAAAGTGAAACTGAGAACTTGCTTCATCGTCAGGAATCTGCTGTTTTCTTGAAATGATCATGTTAGAAAGGGCAGAGGAGAACGTTTCCAATCCCCCACTGCGACTTCAGAGGAAAACCCTGTTTTCAAAGCTGTCTCCAGAACCCAACTTTCAGCAGCAGCTAAAAGGATTCAGACATTTAAGGTCCTAAGTCACTTTTTGAGTACGCTTCTCTAAATCAAAGCAGTTTTGAAATACTTAAACTGTACTGTACTCACCTGGAACCAAAATATTCATTAATTTCAGAGAGCACTCAAATATATTAACTCACATTAGCTTCAGATGTTTCCATTATGACCTCTGACTGTAAGGATTTGCATAATAAAATCTATCAGAATTTAGGTCATCCTTGATTCAGAGGTCTTTAATCCTTTGGACTCCACCAATCCCTGGGGAATCCTAATACAAAGAATCAGTCAATATTAATAAGATTAGTAAGATCTTTCAGGAGCAATTTACAATAAAAACCTGATTAAAAACCTCCTAGGTTATGTGCTACAACTAACAGCACCTGAAAAAATTACTACCAAACCCCACTTGTGAACGCCACAGCAATGAAAAGATGAACTCCATGTCATTGCAACACCAGAGTCAGAAGAGCTGTTAATCATAAAATAGAAATCACATCCTCTTTGTCAGAGCTCAGGAAAATCAGTCTCTAGTAGGGCTTGATGTTTAATTCCAAAGCAACTATTCAACTGATTTTAAAAAATCCTAACTATTAAAACCCCAAATCATTAGACACCTTGTGCATTTATTAATTTGTGCTGTGACCCACTCTAAACAGCTAGCTAGCTTAGACTGAGTGAACCATTTCAATTTTTCATTGAAGTTTGATGTATTACACAGGACAACTATTATCTCCTACTTGCAGAAACTGACTTTCTTTTTTACTCTTAGCATGAGAAAAATTTGTCAGCACCTATCCCATTCACATACATACTCCAAACTACTGCTAACGTATCACTTGATCCCGTACAGAGGGTGTATGTAGATGCATGCAGACATTTCAAATACTAACACCATATCTCCACATCCAGCTGTGGTGACTTTCACTAAGCTTGCCAGTGATGCACATGTCCAGGAAAGGAGATCACCTCCGCGTTGTCTTACTTAACATATACTAAACCAAAGATACAAAATCCTAGAAAACAGTGAAGAAATAACACAAAAATAATTTTTGTGCATCCTTCAAACTGACCTATGCTTTGGTATGATTAATTGGATATGGAAATACTAACGCATTAGTGGTACAACCTGAATTAAGCCCATCAGACAGAGAGATCTAGCCACAAACCTGACTCATGCAAACTACGTCTAAAAATGTTTTAGTTGTCAGCTACGTAGAAGTCTAAGGGAAATGCCTAGCCTTAAAACATCCATGCTGAAGGTCCATAGAGGCTCCAGAACTGAAGCTTTATTTATCAAGCTAACCATCGATTTAAATAAGAAAAACAATTCTCTTCTGATTATTAGACCAGCGGAAAAGAAGAATGACACTGCCCCCCTCCCCGCTTCTTTTGGGGGATCATCTGGCACCTCTCATGCATTGTAGCATCTTCTGCGTCCATCTTGGATATAAAACACAGGCAGTTTCCCTCCATCCAAGAGACAATACGGCTCTTTATTCCCAGCTATTTCATCTGATGCAATACCCTTCATTTTACTCAAGTACTTAATGAGACCACTTACCGGAGGTTTGAAGGACATCTGTGCCTGTTACCTAGAAATTAATGCTTCTGACTTAGAGCAAGGGACCACTTTAAACAAAATCTAAAATCTAAAGAGATTGCTAAGAAAATCTTGCCTGCGTGTTTGGAATAACTATTAAACACCCAGTATTTATACTGCTGCTATTTGCACATGCCAGAGATGAGTTTTAATCCCCTCAAAACCAGTTTAAAAACACTGAGTAATGACACCAGTGATAACCAAAGAACTAATCAGTTCAATCCATGAGAATTACCATTGTACAAGATTTTTGCTAGTCCTTCAAAGCAAGAATGTTAATGGAAACACGCAACTTTCCAGGGTATATATTCTACGCCTTCACTATGTCAGAGAAGTGTCATGTGTTGCAGAGCAGGCCCCAAAAGGATGCTCATGCCAACTCAGTAAAGTGAACATCCACCACAGCAATGAAGGCTAGAGCAGAATGCAGAATTCACTGAAATACGGGGACCCTCTTTTCCCACCTGATTTACACTGCTTCCACTCCATGAGTTGTAACATAAGTGTGCAGAGAACCAAGGACAGGTTGAGAAAAAAACCAAATACAAACAGAATTGCTCCAGAGAGAGAAGTCCATCAAGCCTATTTTCCTCTGCTACTATGCCAGGCTTATGTAGACCTATTCTGAGCAGTAACATCCAGTTTTTTCCAAATATGCATTAGGAAGTCACATAGACCTCAAGTTCAGATTAATTTATGGCAGGACTTCGTTCTTGTGTTTAAGCACCTGTTCAAGTGCTGTTGTCAATCTGGCTTCATTGCACAGCCTATAGGAAATTGCCCTTTCTATCCTCATTTCCCTGTGCAAACATGGTGGGGATGATAATAAAACTTTTCAGCACAATTAGCCTCATCAGCTGATGTTTATTCACACTTAGAATGCATCCACTGCCATTTCAGTTGGAAGAACCAATGGTTGTTATAAATTGGAAACATGTTTCAACATCTTCCAAAGTCATATTCAAACTCTCATGGAAATGTCAACAGAAACATAGAAAACAATGTACGTAATGATGAGCCGTAATGTGACCACATGCCACCAGTGAAGTGTCACACAGTGACAGCGT